GTTATGAACGACGAGGACAAATGTATGAATCGTGATTTTTATTTCTATCGATCAGAGAAAGGGGAGGAGGAATGTTATTCGGGTCGGATATTTAAAACCGAATAAGCTCTTATTTGGGTAACCCGAGAACCGAATAAGCATAATATAGATACCCGAATCAAATTGCTTATTCGGGCCTAATTCGGTTCGGTTCGGTTCGGGTTTCGATTCGGTTCCAGTTTTCGGGCCAAATTCTCATCCCTAGTGGAGAGCGACAGTGGCTTGGACCATGGTGGCGAGCGACGTTACCTGGACTAAATTGATCGGAACTCATAGCTGTGGAACAGAACTGCCACAACGCAATCGATTTGCGACACCTGAAGACCACAACGCCTCCAGCCACCGCCACCGGCAACCCATACAGTCGCACCACTAACACTAGCAACGCCGGAATGCGTTCTTGGTTCTTGCTGCTTCTCTGTCGAACTAAAATGGATAAATCAATGGTGGTTTGGAGTAGCAGGGGTGAGACGGGGAAGATGACAGGAACGGGGGGAGACAGTGGTTTGGAGGAGCGTATGAGAAACAAGCGGCAACATCTGATCGAAAGAATATAGAATGCTATGGAGTGGAAGGGTCGACGAGGATAGACTTGGCGGTGGAGTTGGTGTTTTGGAAGGATTTCATTGGACCATAAAAACTATGAAGCAATCAGTTGAAACGTGTGAGCGTATCTGGATGGATGTCACTGGAGAATAAAACGGTGAATAAAAAGAAGCAGACACGTATCAACCGACAAAACACATATAGTAAATCCCAAAACCCAATAATGAGGGTAGAAAACGAAAAAAAAAAAACTAAGAATAAATAATATGAAAACCCTAAAAGCGGAAGGACAAAATATGAAAATATGTAAACATGTGGACTAAAGATGCCAAAATCCCACCAACTTTACTGTTAATAAGGTTTAACTTCTTTAATATATATATATATATATATATATATATATATATATATATATATAAAAGCTTAGGTTATTCTATTCAAACTAATTATTGTGTTATTGTATGCATAAATGTGGGCCAATCAAATTTACTTATTTTAAGAAAGTGATTAATATATATTATTGATTTAAATATAATTAAAAATATCATCTTAATTAATTACAATGGTAATTTAGTCAATTAATATAGATTTAGTAAAGGAAAATTGCATTTTTTAAGGGATCATAGATTCTATTAATTTTAAAAATCCGATTTTACGAATTATAATTCTTTTAATTCGGGCATTCTGACAGAATATGTTTATGAGTATATTCAAAAATAAAAATATTGTTGAACCATAAATAATAAAAATATTCTTGAACCTATTTCTTGATCATGAATTTAAAAACTTCTAGTAGAATAACAAATTCTTGAACAATCAATTGAAGAATAAAAACAAAAAATACATTATTTCTTCTAGAATACGGGTAACAAATGTTAAGAATTACATTTATTGTTAAAGAATACAACTAAAAAACAATCAAAACGGGAAAGAAAACATTAAAATCTAACAACGACTAATACATTCTAAAAGAATAATGTGGTCCGTTTCAATTTTGTGGTATGTTCTTCAAGCATCAACTTCTGTGATTCCAACAGAATTGGAATTCGTCATTCCATTCCAACAAAATTGGAATTCGTGATTCCATTCCAGTAGAATTGGAATCTCACCAATATCATCCATTGAATCATCTACATAAACATACTTGATACCTTTTCAGAATTCAACCTTGTCAAGATCCTGCACTGTCCACATAAATAAAGTGTTAAATCAGGAAAAAAATTCGAATGAAAAGAAAATTAATCATTTCCTGTCAAAAGAATCAAAAAAAAGACAAGCTATGTAGATGATCACACCTTTGCAAATTAAGGGTCCATATGATAGGAAGAAGCTAAATCTGATAGGAAGAAGCTAAATCAGAATTTTATAAGGGAATCCATGGTTGTTATTGATGACAAAAACTTTGTTCTTGAGCAATTAAGTAAACGCAGAACAATAAAAAAAATCTTGGTTCTAAAAGTTTGGATTTTGCTGCTGTGAAATCAGTACTTCAAGATTCTTCTTCAACTTTTGGGGATGAAATAAAAAAGGGAAAGTTTAGGGGTTTGGTTCCAATCAAGTTAGAGGAGAAATTCAGAGAAACTGTTTCCGATTCCAATTCAGATTCTGATTCCAACTCTCAAATTCCATTGAATTGGCGTTCAAAATCAATGAGATCAGAGAAAATACCAGATGAAACTTCGTATTTTACAAAACCTTCTGTTGGGATTCTTGACTTAAGATCACAATCAATGAGAGTTTCCACGCCAACCCAGATGAAGAATTCTGCAGATAACAAAGAATCGAAAGGAGAAACATCATTCACAGAATATAAACCTCGAGAATTTAGCTTTGATTCTTCTTCTGAGATGAAATCATAAAAACACAAATTTCTCTTGATTTTATCAGAATATCAACATCAAAATCAAAAATTCAAAATAATGCAACACCCGAAACAACAGATTTCGATCGGAAGACATTGATAAATAAAGGAAGAAATAGAGGTGGATCTGGAGGGAATACCTTGGACGCAATAATATGTGTGTGTGTTTGCGCGACAACTGGGGAAGCAACGATTGGGACTAGCGACTGATTGGAAGCAGAGAATGGCTACAATGATCGGAAGTATCAGTGAGGGAAGGTTGGCTCGATTGTGAATGGAGGGATGAAGACGATTTGTGGAAGACGATGAAGACGATGACCTGCTGTATATAAAAAAAGAAATTAGGTTACAAGTGAATGTTAGCCTGATTACAGGGACTATTTGTGGAAGCTATTTATCAAATTACTAAAATACCCTTGTTTATTTATTTAATTATTTAAATTTTTATTTAATTATGATTGGCCCACATTTATGCATACAATAACACAATAATTACTTTAAACATTTGAACCTACCTACCTATATATATATATATATATATATATATATATATATATATATATATAGAGAGAGAGAGAGAGATATATATATATATATATATATATATATATATATATATATATATTCTTTTAACCTCCTGTTCGTAGTCACATTTATTAGTACGTCATTTGCACTTTTACACTTAAGAACAATCTATCTTCCTCAGTATGGTATACCCTTTACGGCTCAAGCCCTCAATCTTTTCACTACAAAGTTGGTCATATGTCGATCTATGAAATGAAATTGTTGAGGTATGAAGTTTTGTCCAACATGGAACACTTGGAACTTAATGGAGCACTTGGGATTCATGGAGCATGTGACAAAAGGAATGGATCATCTGAGAAAGGAATAGATCTACTAACAAAAGAACAAATATTCTAAAAAGGGGTATGGAGCACCTAGAGGTGGAATGGAGCATCATGGTGCATGAATGAGCCATCTATGATCAAGATGGCTATCCTATGCTTGGATGCGCCACTCTGGAATCAGTATATGCCACAAAGTGACTTGATATGCCATAAAGTGACTTGCTATGCCACCAAGTGAGTTGATATGCCACCAAGTGTCTGGCTATGCCAAAGTGACATGATATGCCACCAAGTGACAAGATATGCCATTCAAGAAGTGGATGCACCATTCAAGAGGTGGATGTATCATTCAAGAGGTGGATGCGCCATTCAAGATGAGTATACACCATTATGGAGCATGGTGCGCCATCATTGCTCCTGATGCACCACTTAGATGTCAAGTTCACTAGGATGCTCAAGATTGTACAAATGTTTTTTAGAAGAATGAGGATGCTCATAGAGCATGTTCTACATGGATGATGCGTCATCTTGATGACAGATACACCATCATGATGCACCATTGTGATCCATGATGAGCCATCATGTGTTTTGGTTGATGCTCACGAGGTTGAAGATTCTAAAAGCGCACGCATGGCGTTCCGTGATTGGTTGGAAATTAGGGTATCCCATTATGGGCAAATTATGGATTGGCCTGGCCCATCATAATTAGGGTTTCCCATGCTTGCCTATAAATAGGTCCATATCTCCATCATTGTTAGTAAGAGAGCAATCATTTTAAGGTTGATAGCATATCCTTTGGAGCAGTTAGTGAGCAAGAGAGATTAAGAGCTCAAGTGAGGTGTAACATTTGTGTTTGATTGTAATTTTTCTTGGAAGTTAATAAAATCCTCTTTTTTTCTCGTTCGCCCGTGGATGTAGGTCACCTTGACTGAACCACGTTAAATATTGTGTTTCACTTGATTTACATTTTTTCAAAAATTTTATTTCCGCAAGTTCACCAAAGTTTGTTTTGATATTTGTCTGAAGTGATTAATTTGTTTTGTTGTCATCCCAACAAAAATACCTTAAAGGTTAGTTCCATCTAAGTCGCCTAATCATATACTACAACATATTCCTTGTGTTATCTCAAACTAATTACATTTCTTCAAGTGTCATCCAATAATTCATGTTGGTGAGTCTACTCATCTTGAATCATTCGATCTGAGACATTATATCGCAACAATCAGAGATATTTGTTGTCATGCAAGAATTAACCACGAGACAAGGGCGACACATGCTGGACAAAAGCCTCGGAAAAAACACATCCCAGAAAAGACACAAGGCGCAACGTACAGATACCTGCAATAAACAAATAAGAAAAGGTACTAGGTAAGCAGTTGTCTTTGCCCGGGCCACAAAAAAAATTGGGCAAAGCTTGTACTACTCTTCCTAGTGAAGCCTATAAAAGCAAGCTTCACACAAGGAAAGAGAGAAAACTCTTTTACGATAAACAATTTAGCAATCTTCATATTCGACATCTAACTTAGGCATCAGAGAGCAATACTGGGGTCCATCCCTCGGTAATGCTTTCTATACCTATCATTTTGTCTACCTTTTGCAGCGTGCCTTTTTGCTTGTTCATTAGGAGCAGAGATAACCCGTGCACTAACAGGCATTCAGAATGCTACGTAGCAACACTGGCGTCATTTGTATTATCATATCGACAAATGCAACCACGGAATCAACAAGTAACTTTCGAGGGTAACACAACATGCACCATAATGAATAACATTAACAAAACCATTACAAAAAACTCCTGCCAAAAACCGCAAACTGGATCCAACATCGAAAACACAAATCCTCAAACCACATTTGAGGAACAGATACAAAACAACGAAACAAAAAACGGAAAACGGGCAGAAACATGTAACAGAGAGAATAACAAACAACCTTGGACAAACTGTACCAAACAACAAACCCAACAAAGATTAATAAGCGGTGAAATATCATTTTATAATTTAAAACTAGTAGTAGTAAAATACACATGAGTACTAAAGACGTTAATAGGTTAAATTCCAAAAAATAGTAACCATGAATACTTCAAATAGTTACCATATACTCCCTTCGTCCCAAAATTATTGTCCACAGACAAAAACACACGGATTAAGAAAACATTAATTACCACTAACTTTATTCAATAAAATGACAGTTTTGTCCTTACTTTGCATTTAATGTTCCATTAAATGTTTATTTGGTTAAGTAATAATGATGAGATATTTTGGTAAAAATGTTATTTACTTTTAAAAATGGACTATTATTTTGGGGCAAAACAAAAAGAAAATATAGACTATAATTTTGAGACGGGGGTAACATTTTTTGAACAATTAAATAACCCATGACCCAATTTTTACATTGGCGGGCTATTATAAATAAATTAATTTCCATATTGGTCAATAATATTTCTACATATATTGGTTCAACCGTTCAAGTCAAGGATGCGAGTATTGTCTAGAAAATCACATCATCGCCGACGAGAGTTTCTTGTGGGAAAAGATAATTAGGGCTCTATTTATCATATTAACGCTTCTTCACCAAATTCCATTCCAATACATGCAGATTATCGACGAATTTGATCACCGGCGAAGCTCCGTTAACAGTGGTTCATCGTCCGGTTCGAATTCTTCTACTCTCTTATAGGTATGTTCCAACACCATGCCATTCTCTATCTGAACTTGAATAATAGGGAGTCTGTAGATTTTCGTGATTTGGGTTTTACTTCTAGTCAGGATATTGCTCAGTTTTAACTGGATTTTACACAAAACTTTTGGAAAATGCTATTCCTATAGGTATCTGAATACATGATTATAGATACTTCGGTTTCAAAATTATACGGAAACATCTTGTCTGTATTAAAATGACATCATTTTACAAATAGGTGAAGGAGTTTTGCATCTTGCAAAGTTTGTGTCAGTCTCTTTCAAATCCACCATGGATCTCAATGATCTTAACAAAGTCTGGGAAGTCAAACCTCTGAAGAAGGTTCGAGAAGATGAAGCAAAAGAAATTCTTGAAAAAATAGCAAAGCAAGTTCAACCCATCATGCGAAAACATAAATGGAAAGTCAATATCCTTTCCGAATTTTGGTATACTTCATTCTCATATGATGTCTCTTCTTGTTTCCTTCATTTATTTTTTCTGTTTTCATAATAAAATTTTAACATGCAGCCCTCCCAATCCTGCTCTTCTTGGTCTAAACATAAATGGAGGTGCAGAGGTAAAGCTGAGACTTCGTAGGCAGAACAATGAGTGGGACTTCTTCCCTTATGAGCAAATTCTTGACACCATGCTTCATGAGCTTTGCCACAATCAATATGGCCCACATAATGCTGATTTCTACAATCTACTAGACGAAATCAGAAAGGTAAAAAGCTTGTCACTTTAAGTTGTTCATACTTCATATCCAAACCTTTCAATCTTTCATACAACATACAGGAATGTGAAGAATTGATGGCCAAGGGTATAACGGGAACAGGGCGAGGATTTGATCTTCCTGGGAGAAGATTAGGAGGGTATTTTCGTCAACAACAAACTCCATCATCACTTCGCCAGAAAGCCTTATCTGCTGCACAAAATAGAGCTCAGATGGGGACACTGCTGCCTTCTGGCCCACATCGCCTTGGTGGAGATAGCAGCATGAAGACTGCCCTCAGCCCAGTTCAAGCTGCTGCCATGGCTGCAGAAAGAAGACTCCATGATGATTTATGGTGTGCTTCTAAGTCTTTTCAAGAACCTTCTGGAACTTCTGAAGCATCTGTCTCACAAAACATTAGTTCAAGTGAAGGAGAACCAAAAGCATCATCATGGCAATGTGGTACCTGTACACTATTAAACCAGGTATATTTTAACAGATTTCTTATTTATGATTGCAATATAATGATGAAGAATCTATGAATGGTGTTACTGTTTCAGCCATTGCTTTTGACATGTGAAGCTTGTGGAACTCCAAGAATAGAAGAGAAGAAGAATATGAAGATTTGGTCATGCAAATTCTGTACATTGCAAAACTCGGTAGCAAAAGATCGATGTGTAGCTTGTGGGGAATGGAGATATTCATATGGTCCTCCTACAGCTGTTCATGGGCCATATCTTGGTACATAAACAAATCTTGAAGATTGAAACTCTTGATGATTGATTCAAGTAGTTGCCCTGGACAGTGGTTTTGTATCAGATTATTTCTATTATCCAGCATTGTTTCTTGGTGGTGCAAAATGATATATGTAATTGAAGTTTTCTTGGTATTGGGTTATGAGTGATTAGTGGAAACTTGTTTTTTTGTACACTATAAAGCATTAGATACTAAAAGGTAGTGTTGCACAAACCGATTTTTTTTTCTGAACCGGACCGGTTCAAAAAACCGGTTCGGTTCCGGTCAACAAAGTCAAAACCGCTTGGTTCGCCCTATAAAAATCCCGAACTGATATAAACCGGTTCGGTTTTACCGAAACCGGATCACGAAAAATCGGTTCAGACCGGTTCGCCGCATATAAGGTTTTTTTGCTTTTTTTTTGGGCTAATAAGTGTAAAATAAGAGGGGTTTTTTTTTTTTTTTTTTTGGTTTGATCTAAAACTTATTGGTTTGTGGTTCGCCTCATATAAGGTTTTTTAGCATGTCTTTGAAACCATCTTTTTTATAGTTTCAATGCTAGTTAGTCTATCTTGCACAACCAAATTAATGATATGTGCAACACATCGACTATGAAAAAAACATTATCGCAAGCTGGTTTATATTTTAGTTTTAGTTGTTCAACCGCGACGGTGTTGTTTGATGCCTTATCAAAAGATATAGAAAAAATATTTTCTTCAAGTTTATAAGTTTTGATCACACAATCTAAAATTTTAATTAAATTTCTACCGGTGTGCGGATACTCAAACAATTCAAACGTAATCGTACGCTTCATCATTACCCAATTATTTGGATTAATCCAATGAGCGGTAACACAAAGGTACGCATCCGGTGAACCGTGAGAAGCCGTCCAAACATCACAAGTTAAATTCATTTCGGTTTCTAAAGATTGAAATCCTAAAATCATTTCATTTTTTGCAAGTTTCCACATTTCAATACAATCACATCTAATAGAAGTACGACTCACATGGCAATATCGTGGTTGTAGAGTATCTTGGATGAGTGAAGTCAATCGTTTGTTGTCGAAGTGGTCAAAAGGCAAACATTCTTGAATCACGAACTTCGTCATCCTATCCCGAACTTTACCCAAATCGTAACTCCACAATGTTGAGAACGCGAGAAAAGTTGTGGACCAATCAATATATAAAAGCATATTAGTAATTGTATATTTAAATTAAATTAAAATAAAATAAAATTCAATCCAATTTCCTTAAATTTAGAATCAGTTACCAAAAAACAAAGAAATGTTCTATTTTTTATTTTTCTTATTAATGGAATAAAAAACATTTTTGCAAAAAAAAAATTTAAAACTGAAAAAAAAAATCTTAAAAAATCATTTTTTTCTCCGATTCACGTAAATTATACGTCAATCGTACATAAATAAAAAACTAAACAATCAATCAAAAATGATTATATTATAATTTGACTTTTTTACATTTATATTGACACAATTGTACTTAATGATTAAAATCACTTTGAGACCATGTATTCATATATGAATGCACATTTTCATTCATAAAAATATTATAGTTTTTTAATGAATACAAATATAACCGTAATTGAATAAAGAACATTATAAAAATAAAAAAAAATCAATATATTTTTAATCTTAAATGAATAGAACACAAAGTAGAGATAAAACATCAACTTTGCAAAAAATAAATAAACAAAACACATTTACAATCATATATGAATACAATTATAATCACAAATGAAAAATTACAATGTCTTGATATAAATAAATTTCGGCTCCTTCCAAGTTGTTGTCCATGTGCATTTATCCTTCATCCTTATAATCCTTTAGCACATTCGTATTAACTCGATCAATCTTCAAGAAATCAAAGAATTTTTTTTTTGTATTATTTGTCCATAAAGTGCTTAACTCATTAACCAATTTGTTTTCTAAAATTGCATTATTAAATCAAAATGTAATAAACAGAAAAATAGATTATCATTAATGAATAAAATTTTATAAAAATAAAAAAACTGAAAGTTGAAAATCAATCTTACAACAATCAAAAATGAAAACATTGTATCCAAGTACTTAACATTTAGTAAAAAGTCCATCAAAGATTCGTTAAATAGGCACCAAACTACCACAATATATAATCGAAACCAAGTCAAAATGTCTCGCAATTTCAATATTAATGTTAAAATCAAGCATTTGTGGTGAAATAATAAAAAACAAAACATAATGAATGCTATAGATGCCTAAAAGAGAATGACACAAAAGTAAGTAAAAAAACTCAAACATCAAGAAAATAATAACACACTTGAAAACAATGGGGTTTTTGTTTTTGAACGATTGTGTTGTGTATTCCCTTCCCACGGTATCCCACTTCTTTTTCTTTTCTCAAATTCCCATCAAGACTCACCAAAAATCGCAACAACCTTCTCCCTTTTCTTGCTGAATTGAATTACAGGTATCCGTCAAACTACAACAAAACCATTCACAAATCATAAAAAAAAACATACTGTGATCCAAACAACAAACTTAGATTCACAGCATTGCAAAATACATGTAGCGCCTGTAGATTCGGGTTAGTCAATTTAGAGACGATAATCGTCAAAAATGACTTTTTGATAGAGGATTATTTAGAATAATTAATCTTAACTAAGTTGTAGCATATGTTACAAGGTTTCTGTACATAGAAAGAACGCTGAAATTCGAGTTATAACGAAGAAGTTATGACCTGTCGAAGTTTCGCGACAAAACTGGCACGATACCGGGAATCGTAAAAAGTGAGTTTACGATAGAGTACTTTTTAGCCTTAGGGGTCTAAAGGAAAGTTGTAGAGTACGTCTCCACCTACGCGTGGATATAAATAACGTCAAAAACGGAGCTCGTATGCAAAAGTTATGGCATTCCGAAGATACAACTGTCTAAGAGCATGACACGTGTCAGAAACCCTAATTTGATTGAGCTCACGGCATGAGCATATAAATTCACGACGTGAGGAGTCAAAACACCACTTTTCAAGGCTAGAACTCAGATGGCAAGTCTACGTTTAAGGCTCACGACGTGAGGAGTCAAACGAACACTAATCGAGCCTAGAAAACACCTGGGAAGTCTACGGGATGACTCATGGAAGCTCACGACGTGAGCATGTGAGACTCACGACGTGAGAGAGCCAAAATCAGCCTATAAATAGCAAATTTGACCATTTCATTCTTACACCTTCTACTTTCATTCTCTCTCGTTTTCCGAAGGCCGTTTCCGTGTCCCGAGCCCGACGATCACGAACCGCTGACCGTTTCTAGTTAGATTCTATCAAAGCACGCTACAAGTGAGTGCATAGTTACTTTCATCTTACACATAGATATGAAATATTTAATATAAATTACGTGCTATGTGTGCATATTATTTGTGTTCCTGATATCTATGCTGGATGAATGATTTATACATGTTTTAAATGATTTATACTATATATGTATTTTATATCTACGAATATGTTGGGTAGAACATGGGTAGATAAATAATGAGGGATGAAGGATGATATAGATGAATATTGCCATCTGCGCCATAACCCGTAGGTGTTTTTGATTTACGTGTTTACCAGATGTACTCTAAATATCCTGGCAGCTGCGCCTAAAGGATAATATCGGCAGCTGCGCCAAATAGAGAACATCATAATCCTAGAAGCTGTGCTTAAAGGAAAATATCGGCAGTTGCGCCTAATAGAGAACATCATAATCCTGGCAGCTACGCCTAAAGGATAATATCGGCAGCTGCACCTAATAGAGAATGTCATAATCCTGGCAGCTATGCCTAAATGATAATATTGGCAGCTGTGCCTAATAGATAACATTGGCAGTTGTGCCATAGGCAACGATAGACTCCGTGCCTATTCCTTAAGAGAATCCTTAGGAATGAAAAAGTGAATGCTAGATGATTCTTAGGGTAGATCCTTAAGGAATAAAGAAGATAATGTGGATGGGTAATTGGGTTGATTGTTTGATGATTAAACATAATAATTATATTATTGTGGGTTGAAAACCCTATGTACTCACCAGGTTTCCCAACCTGACCCACTCAACTTATTTGTATCACATGTGTCGATAGGAAGCTAAATTATACTGAGAGATTAAAAGAGACGTGGATCATTAGTGTAAATGAATGTAAGATCTGTTTATGCTTATGTTTCTGTATTGACAATGACATCCCAAAGTTTTAGTATAAACAAAATACATTTCTTAGGAAATGCTTTGATAATATGTTTGTCATGTTTTTCTGGGAACAAATTCCGCAACACTTTTCTTTAAAATGATACTCTGATTTTTAAAATAAAGCATAAACAAATCGGTCTTTTCTGGTCATGAAAATGTGGATGTCACTGTTGGATTAATGTCTAAGTCCATAACTATATTTGGTATGTACTTGACCCGACCCGGCATGGTCCATTTGGGTTGCACTTCACCGGCACAATTTATATGGATAGTCTTTTGAGAATAGTATATTTATGATTTATATTAATATATTATAAGTTCTAATATATTAATATGGAATCATATTATTTAATTAGTATTGATCAAGAATTAATTTAGAATTAATTAAGTGATCAAAAAGAACTAATTAAATATGGACTCTTATATATATGGAATGAGCCAAGTTCATTTAGGTTGGGCTAAGCTTTCATGGATGGTCCATGGAGCTTTAGCCCATGGATCCTATGTAAATGAAAGGTCATGGGTATTAGGGTTTACATGGATGTAACCCTAATCCTCCATAATATATAAAGGGGTCCTTGGCTCACAAAATTGGCACAAGTGTGTGAAAAAAAAGTGTGGGCCGATTTTAGTGAGCATACATATTCTCTCAAGTTCTTCCAAGGTGTTTTGGTGATTTGTGATTCCACTTGAGGCTTCCACACTATTGGGGCTAAGCTCTTAAAGTTCAAGACTTCAAGCAACATCAAATGTATGTCATCTAACTAGAACTTTGTAGTATAGTTGCTTCATAAATATGCTAGTTAGGATGAAACCTTGGAATATTGATTATTTGCATGTATAATAGAGAAAACATAGATCCAAGGTTTATAGGGTTGCATGTACACCATAGGAGTGTTAGAATGCTCAAAACCCAACAGTGGTATCAGAGCCATGGGTTGTTTTCTGTTATATTGATGCAAATGTTTTATTTTCAAAGTTGGAAAAA